TAAACAAGCGTCGATTTATTCATACAAGCATGAAGTATATGTGTATGAATAGGTCGACGTTTATTTATCGTATCGTGTCACAAAATCAATTATCTATTTCTTAGTCCTTAAATGTAAATATGAAACAGATAACAACTCTTAGGACTTGTGAACACAAAGATAGTTGTAACTCAGTCGTAGAATGAGTCAGCAATGTTTTAGTGTAACCGCATCGGAATTATATGTATATATAGCTAGGCAAACGCTCAGTGAGCGGTCGTAGTACTGCATGCATCCATTAATTTGTCCTTGTTTAATATTTAATTTTAATATTTGATTTTAATGTTTAATATTTGAAACAAAGATAAACTTGCTTATAGCGGAAATGGAACCTTTCATTATTCATTAGACGTAAAACGTTTAGGATAGAATGATGCGATAGCGCTAATACTTTTCGAACACAGCCAAAGTTAATACATAGTTATGCTAAAACATTGTAAATGTTAACCTACCTAGTAGGACTACGATTCATGTTCTACGAATGGTTTAGTTACAATCATTTCTTTCTCTTTGTGCTCAGATCTTTTATTCCTCATTACTAAGCAATGTACTTGCATGAATTTCAGACAATTTTGCAGGGTTGGTAAAGATATAGGTGCAATACCGAAAAAGATTTAAGAGAATCCTAAAGTCTATTTTACCGATTAAACGCAATAATTTTCATAGAACGATATCGCATATATTACTTTTATAGATTTGCAAATCCTCTAAAATTAAAATATACGCATTAATATGTGTCTATTGCAGCTTGAAATTTATATCGAGAACGACAAAAATTTTTGAAATAGTGATTTTTTTACCATTTCTCAATCCAAAATGGCGTTTATCAAGTCATGACAATATTTGCTTGATACGAAAATTCTGTAACTTGTACTTACGAAATTGGAGGCTGCAAACTAATCGATTATATAAAGAAATAACGTCGAGATCTTGGAATAAAACATTTAATTGACTCTTTTACACATTTTGTGTGCGTGTTACTTAGTAATTTTCTATTAAATATTTTAATTTCCGCAATGTATTTAAAGAATAATGTATTAAATAATGGTACAACATGCATCAAAATGATTAATTAAATACACATATCATGTATATATATGTTTACACGTATAGCCGAAATTAAGATAATTCAATAAAAAATTATTAGTTAGTATCTGTATCAAGTACACAGTATACTAGATCATTAGGGCCACTTCGACCAACTCCGATTAACTTTAATCGACGGTTAGTCCATTGGAATTGGCCAATCGCATATCAACGACAGATTATGCTCGTTTTTACCAATGTTTAATTTTAATCTCCATTTAATAAACTCTTTATCTTTTTTTAGTTCTAAGAATTATAAAAAAATGAAGAGTAAATTGAACTAAGATTAAAGTTAATTTACATAGTTCGGACAGGCATTGGTCGAAGTGACCCTCATGAGTGTACATCAATTGCCCACTAATTGGTTAATTTAAAATAATATAATTTCATTGATAAAGCAGTGAAAAATTATTAATAATAAAAACAGATGTGAGTGGTGTGTGCAATTGAATTGTGTATAAATGCGCCGCTCCCGGCCCTAATAGCGTTTTCCTTTGAGATGCACTGGGTGTAGCCTTGCATCACGCAGAGGTGTGTCCGCAGATATTTTGTATAGCAAAAAAACTGTATAATACATATAACGACAATTATCGATAAATGTTATAAAAAATAGTACCCCAGTTGCATGTAAGCGCTGCATTGTGCTAGAGTGATACACATCATAGTATATATTACTTCATTATTGTGCTAAAAATCCTGCTTCCGATTAACTTACATTTTCAAATTTTAAAGTCTAGTTTCACGATTCATGGTTAACTCTTTAACTGTGAGTTACAGGATTAGATCTTAATGTTATAATAGAGCCATACTGACTCTGCCGTAGCCACTGAAACACCAAATGAGTTCGTTTATCACCATGTCCGCGTATAAAAAATTTATTCAATTAGTATATAATGTAACAATAGACGTTTCGATCCTACTGCGGATTCTTCTCAATATTGTAATAACAATCGATACAATATAATTAAAAATTGATAAACATACAATTAAAAACTGAATTTAAAAAATCGAATTGTACGACGAATTGTAACGTGTCTTGTGATGTAGTCATAAGAAATTGTGATGTCCAAACATATTCTCATTATAAAGTTAAATCAAGTTAAATGATAAATGCAAAGACAGATAGCTCAGAGGAAATTGTCAGTCTTATTATATCCTTTCATATCACATATTAAAAAACGAGACAAGACTCTCAGAAAAAGCGTTAGTTCTATTTTTCGCTTTCATATTTTTATTGGATATACGTATGCATATATTATATTTTGTATCAGAACATAATTTTTATATAATTTGTTAGTTAATTTCTCATTTACAAATTTTACGCTTGTATTTGTAATTATAGATATATATTTGGCGCACATTATTTTACATCTATCTTTTTATATTATAGATTTAGTGGAAACAAAATATACCTTCCTACCTTTCTATAACCAGTCTTTAAAGGTTTGTTATACTTTTTTGTGTATACATAAATGCTCTTTGAAAATAAATTAATCATTATTAATAATAATTATAGTTATAAAAATAATTCGAATTTTAGTAATCCGACATTTATCAAGATGTCTTGTGATATCGATCTTCAACGACAAGAGGATGAAATGGCTGTAATTTCTAGTATTTACGACGAAACAGAATTCTTCCACGTGAAAATCAAAGAGGGTACAAGATGCTCAGTCACCATACATCCAATGCTTCTTAAAAAACTAGAAGTAAAATTTAGTAGTGATCTTTCCGATGTGGTTCCCAACGATAGTACCTCTGTAGAACATCTACCGCCAATCAGAATGTACATTTATCTTCCTAACACATATCCATCTAAAACACCACCAGAATTTTGCCTTTCGATTGTTTGGTTGTCACCTTGGGAGATATCTTTAATTTGTCAGAAATTAGATGAAATATGGGAAGAGAACCAGGGCAACGAGATTATCTTCCTGTGGCTAAATTTCCTACAAAACGATCTTTTCAGTTTTCTAAATGTATCAGAATCCTTAGATGTTTCCTTCTTACATTTAATTCACACGTCACGAGATAATGTCACATTACGCCTAATCCAGTTATCCGATCCCAGGGCTCAGAATGGTGCATTATTATTAGATATCAAAAGGTTATTAATATCTTATGACAAGAAGCAACATAAAGCACAATTCGTCAAGAACTTGTATACTTGCTACATATGCTTCGAGGAATGTACAGGATTAAATTGTATAGAATTAGAAAACTGTGGGCATGTCTATTGCAAAAGTTGCATGGAGAAGCACGTACGTATCAGAATTGTCGAATATATTAATGAGATATTGTGTCCGACGATAGACTGCAAGCGGCAAATAAGCGGTAATGACGTTAAGACTCTCTGTCCGGACTTATTTTTCCAATACGAAGAAATCATGTTACGAGTAACGTTAGACACCATGGACGATGTAGTATACTGTCCACAAATTTCTTGTCAATATCCGGTTATCAGAAACCTGGACGATACCGCACCGATTTGTCCTATCTGCAAATACTGTTTTTGCATCTATTGCCATAAGGTAAGACATGTCTCAACATTTAAGCGGATGTGTATGTATGTATCTATGACTTGTTATTATCATGCACTTGATATGGATACTAACTAACAACTTTCTATTCTAATTAATTATTAAATTAAAAATTATTTTAATTTTATCCATGCATGCAAACATATATATGATACATGTATTTAATTAATCATCTTGATATTGTATCATATTATATAATAGTACTATCATACTGAAATTAAGATGATGTAATAGAAAGTTACTAGTTGGTACGAATATTAAACGATCGATGTAAACTAGGGCTACATATCGACATACTCTATATATAAATTGTTTATTAAAACAGATGTACCATGGACAAGCACCCTGTGAAATGACATCGACTGATACTATAAAGCTCATTGACGAGTACAAAAATAGCAGTAATAAGAAGAAACAGATGTTAGAGAAGAAATATGGCAAGCGTCAAATGCAATTAATTGAAAAATACCTTACGACTGAATATCTACAAGTATGTATAACAAAGTATATAAAAGATTCAATTATATGAAAATTAATGAATAGACGTAATAAGACTACAATAGAGTATTGCTCCTAATGATGATTGTGCGCGTAACTTTGTTTAGGATAATGCGAAAAGTTGCCCGAAATGTCGTTCTTTCATTAGCAAAACCGAGGGTTGCAATAAAATGACATGTAGACATTGCCAATCTTTATTTTGCTGGTTGTGCTCCGAACAAATATATGGATATGAGCACTTCAATAACGTCGATAGTCAGTGCTACGGACTTTTATTTGATGGCATAGATACGGACAACGTTTTGGATTATGTTATTGATGATGCAATGGATAATATAAATCCATTCTTTGAAGATCTCCACATTTAAATGTATATATTATAACCGAATAACTGACAAAAGGACGTGACTCTCGAAAAGATCTTGAACTAAAATTATTATTAATTTTTACTATTTATATTTTTTTTAAATAACATGAAAAAGGAATCATTATTGTCAGATATCAGTTATATATTTTTGATAAATGTAGCTATTTTCACATTTTATATTAGCACGTATTTTCATAATTATGTACATTATTTTAAAACATTTTTTATAAGAAAATATTAATTTTTTAATTATCAAAAATGTTAAAAGCTAATATAACATATATTTGTATATCTGTAATACATAACTTGTATAAATTATATAACAAAACATGTTCTTGTATCTGATATATAGAAATTTAACAAGGATATTAATTTAGTTGTAAATAAGTATTATATTAAATTTGTGCATACTATGTATTTTTTACTTTATGATTTGTAATAAAACATCTGTATAAAAATATGTTGTGTATACATATAATATATGATAACAATAACAATATCCTAAATAATATTAGACTTTTCTAGATAATAATTGATGTCATACTCATGCATCTCTCTGTAAGTGAATCTCGATATTTGCTTCTGTAACTAATTGTTCCGCAACGATAGAGACAGCAGATTCGCGTCTCTGTAGATTCGCGACAATATCTAAGAGCGATTATAAAAATAAGGTAAAATAATCACTTTCTTACAGTCTTACGTTAACATGAAGTTGCATTACCTTCGCAATTCTTATCACATTCCACAACTGCTTGTTTACGATGAAAATATTGCATGTTTAATTGTATAAGTGTAGGACCGAATATGCCGTATCCAATGCACGCTCCGATTACAAGGGCGATGGTGATATATGCGTTGTATGTCATAACAGCTAACATCAGGATATAACCGAGCGTAGTATGAAGAGACCAATGCAACATTTGCAGTGTCCATCTTGAGCAGTTTCCACTAAGAGAACATATTTAACACGACTTAAAATAAAAACGGTTAGCTATTACTAAGGAAAACGAATTTAGGACAATAATTATAACAAAGTTATCAATAGCAAAATGTAGTCAATAGATATATGTATAATAATATGATTAATTTTAAGCGCAGTTCGAATGACTACAAATATAGGCTGAGTTCTAAAAGCCACTGCCAATGCTGAAAATGTATAGTATACGTAACTGTAAATTTTCAACACTGGCAGTGAATTTTGGAACACAGCCATGGTATATGCATGTATATATACATATAGTGTATATATAATTCACATTGAATTATTTAAGCATTAAAGATCCAGCTTTGACCGTTATAGGCTTTAATATTCTTACTTATTGTGTACTCACATATACACAGTCTTAATAAATCACTTATTATGATTAATTTTGTAAAAATTAAATATTTTGTAAAACTGTCATATATATGTTGTAAATGTATATATTCCCTTTTGCTTGTACAAGATATAATGTGTTCTAAAACTTTTAAAGCAATAATGAAGTTTTCTTCAGATATGCTCATTTTTGACAAAATTCGTTTTAGAGAAAATAGCAAAAAAAAAAGACAAAACGTAATTTTCGAAATTATTGTTTTCAAAGCGGAATATTTTTTTTCAGCGATAATGCTTCAAATGCAAAAGTATGCATGCTGATTTTCAGACAAAAGAAATGCCGAATCGGCGAGTCATTATTATGTTGACCATATCAGTATTTAGTTGTAACAAGAGCTGTCTGTACAAGATGCGATGTATGTATATATATATATATTACTGCAAAAGATTATTTTGAAGTATATCTGTATTAAGCACTGATAACATGAATAAATAAGTGTGAATAAATAAATAATAAATAAGTGCAAAAATAAAAACTACGTTTTGTCTTTTTTTGCGATTTTCTCCAAAATGAAACAAAAACGATTATATCTTTAAAGAATCTTTCTTTTTAGTTTATTGATCCCTTATACACTCTCGAAGTTTGGTCATTTAAATTCGAATTTTCAGATGATATATTTTCTATAATTAATAACATCTTTTTGATACATATAATTTCAAGAAACATACAGTCTATTTTATTCTTTATAAACAAATTGTTAATTACTCAACAAGAAATGATGGTCAATTAAATGTCGAATCGACGTCAAATTGATGTTGAAATCATAGAAATATCGATATCGATTTGATATCAGTTTGGTGACTCATTTCTCGCTGGATAATATATTTACTTTTTAAAAATAAAGCTTTTTTAAAAAAATATTTTCTCTGTACAAATACTTTTTGCATTTACTGTATCTTATTGAGCTTCGAGCAGATAAGAAAATGACAATGTACCATCTTGTGTATGATCTAAAGTTCTTTGGCGTGACTCTGGATAGGAGGGACGAGTTTTCTGAGGAGGCCGAGGTTGTTCGAGATATGGGTCTAATCACAGTCTGTTGCAGGTGGATCTGGGAGACCTTCATGGCTTCGTACAGAACTGCGAGGGCAGCTAAGCCAAAGCATGTCGCCACCAAACCCCATATCGTATTAACATTATATCCCGGAAACAAAAAATTGCTCAGATCCGTACCAAACCAGTACCACATATGCATCTGCAACGTTTTACGAATAGAGATAAAAACAAGTGTTTTTATAGAGCGTACAGGATGCGTAAAAGAAACGTCAAGAAATTAAAGCTGTACTGACCTTAATTATCTCAATTTCTTCTCGTACACCCTCGACTGGTAAGAGTCAATCATGACGACTGATAAGCCACGCGTATATCGCGAATTGTCGCGTATACAGACGCCTATGCGTTCTCTTAATCGATCACCTAGCCTAACCCAAAACTTTCTTAGCTTGTTTACAAATTGTGTCCGCTTACTCCACGCTTAGGCGTTACATTTCAACCACGGAAACCGCGGTGTGTAAATCCTTGCCTAAATGGTTACTAGTTAAACTTTAATTCATAGATAGACGAAAATTTGGAAAAAATTATTCTTGTGATCTTCATTCATCCTTTTTCGATTTGCGCCAAGAAACGCAAGGTTGAAAGACAACATGTGTTTAGCGGAGCAGCGAGCGAATCTGAATTCTGATTGGTGCTCACCCGCGAGTTCGACGAATCCCAGAGCGACGACGCAATCTGTTTTTTCTTCACGTGGGATTCATATGCAACGACCGATGTCGATATTGGCGAAGCCGGTTCTTTACGCACAGTTAGCACAGTTAACCAGTGAACAGCTGAGTAGCGATCAGATGCAACTTTGACGATGGATGTAACGAATTGTTGAATAACGATCGAACAGATGATTGTTAATTCAAATTGAAAAACGTCAAAGCTTTGCCTTAAAGAACTCTACCCCTGTAATAGAACTAAGATTGACAAGAACGCATATAAACTTTTTATTTTTTATTGAACTTCGAACGCCGTTCGATAAAAATGGAACTAACGTATCTCACATTTCTCGTTTGTGTTTCATTCATCGCGAGTTCATATGGGAGTACATTAGGTATTTACTCTAGAAACTTCTTCGTTTACCTGAGAGATTAGGTCTGTTCTTTGTTACTATACAGAATTGTAAAATTTCAAATATATCTATTTTTATCTTAAGTACGAGCCTCACACAATGCTATTCTTCTAAGAATTTTTCAGGATGTTCTTAGGAATCTTGGAGAAAGAATGTGTATACTACAAACCACAAAAAATAGACCTATTTTCTACTGTCTGATATTATAAGGATATCAGATGTGTTATAAAGATAATATTTGCTTTCTTTTTTATTTAAGCTAAATATATGACAAAATTTTAACTAGAATACTTTTAGAGCCCGATAAGGTAACAATAGTAATACTGAGTCAAAAGGAAGGCTACAATGCGGCCCATGCTGATTATTTGAGGAAAAACATCTATGAACAAGCTGATGCCCTTGAAAAAGTACGTTTACGTTTGATCACAAAAGAATTTCTTCTTTATGTGTAGTTTTTATTAAATTTTTATTGTAGTGTATGTAATAACTATGTTTATTTTGTATTTATTGTTAAATAAATTATCTTTATACTTTTATAGGAATTGCCGCACATCATAATGTCTCATAAACTTAATATCAAAGGTTCCTGGACGATAGTTCCACTATTGACATATTTGTCAGATGAATTTCCAGATGTGGAATGGTTCTTCTTCTGTTTAGAAAATACTGTGATTCGATTAGAAAAGCTATTGGATGTTCTTGGAAAATTTAGCTCTTCTCAGGTGAATTGCACTCTTGTTATAAACTTAAGAATATATTTCTATTTTAGATTTATATTTTAGATAATTTGTTTGTATGCAGGATGTGTGGATGGGATACGCGCTTTATGACCGTGAACCTACTATTATTCATCACTTTGCGCAGCACACTAAAAAATTTAAGTATCCGCACATTGCGTCTGGATTTGCCATGAGTGTTACGCTATTAAAGAGGTATATTCTATTTTTATATTGAACAATTATTATATTTAAAGAAGTATATCCATTATGTTAAATAGTTATTACAAGAGTCATAACATAAATAGCTTCTGAAGAGTAATTAACTGAAGATATAAAATAGGCTGTAGGTCACAAATTAACTTAATAAAAGCTACTCTCTTCTAAATATTTCCTTTATTTTATAAAACTGTCTATTGACTCTATTGATACATAATTTTATAAAAATATGATAACGATTTATTTCCATAATTTATTTTTATATTTTTTTCCAAAAGTTAAGAATATAATTTAACATTTTAGTTTGTCTAAACAAATATCTAAGGGCAAGGAACCGAAAGCAGATTTTTCTATTGACGTATCATATGAATTCGCAACCTTTGTCTTAAGTAGTACTGGTGTGAAATTGACTCATGTGTCTAAACTATGCATTGTGTCTGCTTCCGATTGTGCCACGTATCCCCGATTCTTCCATTCTTGTGTATGTTGTACCTGAGTTCTTAATTAATAATAAGAATACTTTTAGTAAGTTAGCTAATCAAAAGAACAATATGCTGTATTGTTGAACTGTTAATATAAATACTTTCAATTTTACAGAGTTCTTCTGTAACTCCAGAAAATATTTATTTTGCTGTTAAGACTTGTGCTAAATTTCATTTAACTAGAATCCCAGTGATTAAAAAGTCATGGGCCAAATACGATTTGAACATTGGATATTTTAGTGATGCAACTGGTATGCCCGATCAATGTACATATATTTTTTGATATATTTATAGTCTTTGTAAATTACTGAATTGTTTTTCTACAGACAAAAATTTACGGGAAGCATACGTCGTCCCGAACACTACCGAAGGACATTGCGCTAAAACTTATGCTATCTTGCAAGAAGCCAGCAAAATACTAAAAAAACGCAATTTCGATTGGCTTGCCATTGTCGATGATGATACTATATTCAGGTGAGACAACTATATACATTTAAAAATTTTTTTAAATTGCCAAAATTATGCAAAATGTCACAAAGCTGTAAAACTTATAATTTTTATTTTTAAAAGATATTGAAAAATTGAAGTATACTTAAATCAAGACTGTCCAAAATTTAACTGAAGAGCTAAACGCTTCTCACTCTACATTGTCTCGTTAAACAAAATAAAATACAGAAATAAAATAAAAAGAATAGACGTTAGAACTTTGCTCAATGACTAGCTACTTTATCTCTTTTGTTTTTATATTCAATAAGGCGATAGAGAAGGGGAGTTTGAGGTCACGAGCTAAGTTTCAAACAGGTTTTAATGTATTACAGTGTGGTACGTTTATTAAACTTGCTTACGTGTTACAATCCTAAGCACTTAGTCGCGATTGGCGAACGTTACGGCTTTCGTATTTGGGACAGACATCATGGTTATCAGTACTTAACTGGCGGTGCGGGGGTTGTGTTATCGGCTCCCTTAGTTCATCTGATAGTAGAACCAGGCGTATGTACTTGCCCATCTGCGACTACTCCCGATGACATGCATCTCTTTGGACTTTGTTTGTTGCGACTTAGAGTGGAAGGTGTACATTCTCCAATGTTCCATCAGGTTTGTGCAATAACAAATATTAACTTAAATAAAGGCTTCAGCTCACAGGAAAAAATAATATATAATGCCAATAAGAATCGACACTAGTTATTATATAATTTATATAATAGCGTCGGCTTTCATTGGAATTATGTATCATTTATTTTTTGTGCAATAATTTTTTGTCATAATTTATATTGAACATTAAACCAATATGGTTTAAGTTTACCCAGAACACATTAGATTTTACTTGATCATTTTATTACCTTTCGAAGACAATGGCAAACCATCAAGAGTATCTTTGAAAGTATGAGATATATAATTTTAAAAAATAACAAAATTATAGTAGTGTTTATTTTAGTATACTTTAGTGATTATTACTTTTTGATAGTATAATATTAAACTATTTTATATTTGATAACTGTTGTAGGCACAACCTGTAGACTACCCTTACGCTTATTTGGCATCTCAAGAACCTATATCATTTCACAGATTTTGGTCGGTTGATCCTAAAGCTGTGTACAATGACTGGTTTGCAGAAGTAGATAAAGTCTTACCGCTTGCAGATACACCATTAAAACATACAGAATTATAAATATATATTTAAAAAAAAACTTTATACAAATTTGCAATAAATATTTTTATTTTTGTATTTGTAATTTCTTTTCTTCAAAATATTTATTTTTCATATTTAATATTACTCTTAAAA